GTTCCATCAGACCCTAATCCATTAGTTCCATCAACTCAGACCCTAATCCATTAGTTCCATCAGACCCTAATCCATTAGTTCCATCAGACCCTAATCCATTAGTTCCATCAGACCCTAATCCATTAGTTCCATCAACTCAGACCCTAATCCATTAGTTCCATCAGACCCTAATCCATTAGTTCCATCAGACCCTAATCCATTAGTTCCATCAGACCCTAATCCATTAGTTCCATCAACTCAGACCCTAATCCATTAGTTCCATCAACTCAGACCCTAATCCATTAGTTCCATCAGACCCTAATCCATTAGTTCCATCAGACCCTAAGCCATTAGTTCCATCAACTCAGACCCTAATCCATTAGTTCCATCAGACCATAATCCATTAGTTCCATCAACTCAGACCCTAATCCATTAGTTCCATCAACTCAGACCCTTATCCATTAGTTCCATCAACTCAGACCCTAATCCATTAGTTCCATCAGACCCTAATCCATTAGTTCCATCAGACCCTAATCCATTAGTTCCATCAGACCCTAATCCATTAGTTCCATCAACTCAGACCCTAATCCATTAGTTCCATCAGACCCTAATCCATTAGTTCCATCAGACCCTAATCCATTAGTTCCATCAGACCCTAATCCATTAGTTCCATCAACTCAGACCCTAATCCATTAGTTCCATCAACTCAGACCCTAATCCATTAGTTCCATCAACTCAGACCCTAATCCATTAGTTCCCTCAACTCAGACCCTTATCCATTAGTTCCATCAACTCAGACCCTTATCCATTAGTTCCATCAACTCAGACCCTTATCCATTAGTTCCATCAACTCAGACCCTTATCCATTAGTTCCATCAACTCAGACCCTTATCCATTAGTTCCATCAACTCAGACCCTTATCCATTAGTTCCATCAACTCAGACCCTTATCCATTAGTTCCATCAACTCAGACCCTTATCCATTAGTTCCATCAACTCAGACCCTAATCCATTAGTTCCATCAACTCAGACCCTAATCCATTAGTTCCATCAACTCAGACCCTTATCCATTAGTTCCATCAACTCAGACCCTTATCCATTAGTTCCATCAACTCAGACCCTTATCCATTAGTTCCATCAACTCAGACCCTTATCCATTAGTTCCATCAACTCAGACCCTTATCCATTAGTTCCATCAACTCAGACCCTTATCCATTAGTTCCATCAGACCCTAATCCATTAGTTCCATCAAATCAGACCCTAATCCATTAGTTCCATCAACTCAGACCCTAATCCATTAGTTCCATCAGACCCTAATCCATTAGTTCCATCAACTCAGACCCTAATCCATTAGTTCCATCAACTCAGACCCTAATCCATTAGTTCCATCAACTCAGACCCTAATCCATTAGTTCCATCAACTCAGACCCTAATCCATTAGTTCCATCAACTCAGACCCTAATCCATTAGTTCCATCAGACACTAATCCATTAGTTCCATCAACTCAGACCCTAATCCATTAGTTCCATCAACTCAGACCCTAATCCATTAGTTCCATCAACTCAGACCCTAATCCATTAGTTCCATCAACTCAGACCCTTATCCATTAGTTCCATCAACTCAGACCCTTATCCATTAGTTCCATCAACTCAGACCCTAATCCATTAGTTCCATCAACTCAGACCCTAATCCATTAGTTCCATCAACTCAGACCCTAATCCATTAGTTCCATCAACTCAGACCCTAATCCATTAGTTCCATCAGACCCTAATCCATTAGTTCCATCAACTCAGACCCTAATCCATTAGTTCCATCAGACCCTAATCCATTAGTTCCATCAACTCAGACCCTAATCCATTAGTTCCATCAACTCAGACCCTAATCCATTAGTTCCATCAACTCAGACCCTAATCCATTAGTTCCATCAACTCAGACCCTAATCCATTAGTTCCATCAACTCAGACCCTAATCCATTAGTTCCATCAACTCAGACCCTAATCCATTAGTTCCATCAACTCAGACCCTAATCCATTAGTTCCATCAACTCAGACCCTAATCCATTAGTTCCATCAACTCAGACCCTAATCCATTAGTTCCATCAACTCAGACCCTAATCCATTAGTTCCATCAACTCAGACCCTAATCCATTAGTTCCATCAGACCCTAATCCATTAGTTCCATCAACTCAGACCCTAATCCATTAGTTCCATCAACTCAGACCCACATCAAACCCAACAGTCCACAACAAACTAGCCAGTAGTCAATGTGAGCCCACATGCGATCGAATCAGTTTAAAGTAACTGTAGCACAGTTTAAAGTAACTGTAGCAGAGTTTAAAGTAAATGTAGCAGAGTTTAAAGTAACTGTAGCACAGTTTAAAGTAACTGTAGCACAGTTTAAAGTAACTGTAGCAGAGTTTAAAGTAAATGTAGCACAGTTTAAAGTAACTGTAGCACAGTTTAAAGTAACTGTAGCACAGTTTAAAGTAACTGTAGCAGAGTTTAAAGTAACTGTAGCAGAGTTTAAAGTAACTGTAGCAGAGTTTAAAGTAACTGTAGCACAGTTTAAAGTAAATGTAGTATTAAAGTAACTGTAGCACAGTTTAAAGTAAATGTAGCACAGTTTAAAGTAACTGTAGCACAGTCTAAAGTAACTGTAGCACAGTTTAAAGTAACTGTAGCACAGTTTAAAGTAACTGTAGCAGAGTTTAAAGTAACTGTAGCAGAGTTTAAAGTAACTGTAGCACAGTTTAAAGTAACTGTAGCACAGTTTAAAGTAACTGTAGCACAGTTTAAAGTAACTGTAGCACAGTTTAAAGTAACTGTAGCACAGTTTAAAGTAAATGTAGCATTAAACTAACTACATACATGTAGCAAAGTTCTGCTGTGCAAATGGCTCGACTCTTGAGGGACTGAAGAAATATCTCAATCAATAAATTTTTATCGACGGGAGTGTCGTTATTTTCTCCAGATGTTAGGGGACCAGGGCAGGTTCTTGGCAAGGGTTAAAAGACAGTTCGACATGGGTTTTACTGGGGTTCAGACAGTTTGACATGGTTTTTACTGGGGTTCAGACAGTTTGACATAGTTTTTACTGGGGTTCAGACAGTTTGACATGGTTTTTACTGGGGTTCAGACAGTTTGACAGGGTTTTTACTGGGGTTCAGACAGTTTGACAGGGTTTTTACTGGGGTTCAGACATTTTGACAGGGTTTTTACTGGGGTTCAGACAGTTTGACAGGGTTTTACTGGGGTTCAGACAGTTTGACAGGGTTTTACTGGGGTTCAGACAGTTTGACATAGGTTTTACTGGGGTTCAGACAGTTTGACAGGGTTTTTACTGGGGTTCAGACAGTTTGACATGGGTTTTACTGGGGTTCAGACAGTTTGACATGGGTTTTACTGGGGTTCAGACAGTTCGACAGGGTTTTACTGGGGTAGAGACACTTTGACAGGGTTTTTACTGGAGTTCAGACAGTTTGACAGGGTTTTTACTGGGGTTCAGACAGTTTGACATGGGTTTTACTGGGGTTCAGACAGTTTGACATGGTTTTTACTGGGGTTCAGACAGTTCGACAGGGTTTTACTGGGGTAGAGACAGTTTGACAGGGTTTTTACTGGGGTTCAGACAGTTTGACAGGGTTTTTACTGGGGTTCAGACAGTTTGACATGGGTTTTACTGGGGTTCAGACAGTTTGACATGGTTTTTACTGGGGTTCAGACAGTTCGACAGGGTTTTACTGGGGTAGAGACAGTTTGACAGGGTTTTTACTGGGGTTCAGACAGTTTGACAGGGTTTTTACTGGGGTTCAGACGGTGCTTCGTTAAGTGGTGGGACAAGACGTCAATACATGACACCAGACGTTATGTAAGACATGGGTGCAGACGTTATGTGACTAGCTGTACCTGTTGGCCTGTACGGCATGCCACAATGTACTCACACGTCAGGTATGTCACGTGACCGAGTCATTAGGGCAATTATGGGGACCGTGTGATGTACAGGTAGTTGCAGGTAGTTGCAGGTAGTTGCACCTAGTACACCCCGGCCAATGTTGGCTGGAGACCAAATCTAAGTAAAGCTCATGATGACTGAGACACAATAGTAGGCAGGTTAAACAATACACAGAAGGTGATTATAGTAGGCAGGTTAAACAATACAGAAGGTGATTATATTAGGCAGGTTAAACAATACAGAAGGTGATTATAGTAGGCAGGTTAAACAATACAGAAGGTGATTATATTAGGCAGGTTAAACAATACACAGAAGGTGATTATATTAGGCAGGTTAAACAATACAGAAGGTGATTATATTAGGCAGGTTAAACAATACAGAAGGTGATTATATTAGGCAGGTTAAACAATACACAGAAGGTGGTTATATTAGGCAGGTTAAACAATACAGAAGGTGAGTATATTAGGCAGGTTAAACAATACAGAAGGTGATTATATTAGGCAGGTTAAACAATACAGAAGGTGATTATATTAGGCAGGTTAAACAATACACAGTAGGTGATTATATTAGGTAGGTTAAACAATACACAGTAGGTGATTATATTAGGCAGGTCACACAATACACAAAAGGTGAACTATTGACATTGTCAGGATGCTGACATTGTCAGGCAAGTACTGCTGACATTGTCAGGCAAGTACCGCTGACAATGTCAGGCAAGTACCGCTGACATTGTCAGGCAAGTGCCGCTGACATTGTCAGGCAAGTACCGCTGACATTGTCAGGCAAGTACCCCTGACATTGTCAGGCAAGTACCGCTGACATTGTCAGGCAAGTACTCCTGACATTGTCAGGCAAGTACTGCTGACAATGTCAGGCAAGTACTGCTGACAATGTCAGGCAAGTACCGCTCCCGTCTAGACTAAATGACGTGAAACCACGAGAGCGGCGCTGCTTGTAGCGCCTGCTGATGGCACCAGCGACGACTCGCGGACCTGCGAGGAGGCTGGTAAAAACGTGGATTGGATGCAAGAAAAAGGATGGGTCGGCCCATTGTTCTCAGAGGCAGCAGCGTATAAAACAAGGGTTGGACTGTTGTAGGGAGAGAGTTGAGAGGAGGACAAACGCTGGGCTACAGATGTTTGTTCATGTGGACTAAAGCAACAGGATACAATAGACATGTGTTTCTTACAGTGTGGGGATTGTTTGCTGAGGATTGTTTGCTGAGGATTGTTTGCTGAGGATTGTTTGCGGAGGATTGTTTGCTGAGGATTGTTTGCTGAGGATTGTTTGCTGAGGATTGTTTGCTGAGGATTGTTTGCTGAGGATTGTTTGCTGGGGTTTCTGAAACAGGCATCTAGAGGATACAACACACAATGTAAGTGACCCGTATAGAATCCAGTGGTCACGGTGTCCACTGAGCCACAAGCAGAACCGGCGTTAGGAATACGCGGGGCCTAGGGCCAACCATCCGCGCGGGGCCTGCTTTTTTCCTAATATATATATATATATATATATATATATATATATATATATATATATATATATATATATATATATATATATATATATATATATATATATATATATATATATATAGGCCTATATAATAACACATAAATGTTTTCGAGTTTATAAGCTAATGCCAATCTTTCCACTTTAATAACAGATGTTTATCTCTCCCATGTTTTAACCCAATGTTCTAGGTTTATGGATATCCAAAAGAAATTATTCTCAAATTTAATCTCAGACGCTCAGTGGGGTAGAGCTTTGGGGTGGGTGGCAGTTGGTGGGGGGAGGGAGGTAAAGGATAAATATGCATTTAAATCTATGGCTATGGGATGCCATATCTTTAAAAAAAAAGGGTCACCAAGTTCACAGGCGTAGCGACCCTTCCCGGCGCCCGGGGACAAACTTTTCGATTTGCACCCCCCCCCCCTCAAACTTTGGATTTGCACCCCCTCCTCAAGATTTCAATTTGCACCTCCCCTCAAGATTTCGATTTGCACCCCCCCCCCCCCTCAAACTTTCAATTTGCACCCCCCTCAACCTTTTAATTTATTTTTCCAACCCATTTTGGCGCCCCTTAAGGTCGGCGGCGCCGGGGACATATGTCGTCCACCCCCCCTCGCTACGCTACTGACCAAGTTCAAGTACCCCGTTAATGGATATCTGACTGGAGTAATTCAAAACAAGGTTTGTGTTTATAGAGCGTCCACGTATCACTGGGTATTACATTACCGGCCATGATCGCCATCTCACAAGAGAAGGTTCGTGACTATAATTAGGAAGTGACAGCCAGCTACACCTTATTAATGAGTTTCGCGACGGCATGCTAAGGCTGCCGTGAATGTAAGTGCTTTAGGTGTGTGAGATATCAGGACAAGTTTACAATACAGCGAACTCGGCCTGATGTATCAAAACAGTATAGACTTCAAAATTTGTTTAGAATCCATAAAATATTCCAAAACCAAACTCATTATTGTCTTAACTATTGTAAAGGATTTCCCTACAATTAAAAATGTGCTTAATCACTCAACAAATGCCGTTAAGTTCACCAAAGTATCAGATATAAATTGAAATACCGCGTTTATTGGGAGAATATCAATGACTACTAAATCACAACTCTCCATTGCCTCAATGATGCCCCTTTGTCAATCAAAGTTGTGCGACGAGGACAATACGCTGACTATATCATGTCAGCACCACTGGAAGACGATTGAATAAAACAATTTGGATGAATTCGCTAAATTAATCATTCTGTCTTGGAACGGATGAATCCTTAAGATGACACAACATGACAGTTTTAACTTTCTTCCAAATAATAATAATAAATCACTCTGTTTAATGCCCCCTGATATAGATCCTAAGCCCCCCCCCCCCACCCCCCCCCTGTCACCTTCCTCTCACCCCTCTGCACGAAACTGAATTTTAATTTTGTTATACCAAGACAAGTAGGCCTACATATACGATATCTACAACAAGAAAGTCAGGACTAGAGTTCATCAGGTCACTGACTGTCTACTACAGACATCCCGTCTGCTCACTAAAAGGACGTCTTCATGGGTCCGCATACAATAGGGTATCTCTTTACGTTTCCCAAATTTACATCCTATGTCAGGTCGTGGGCTAATTCTCGACCGCCATCTCCAGTCAGCTCAGGTCAAATGCCAGGCGACCGTACCCTACACAAAGGGGAGGTGTGACACTGTTTTTGTATCGAATTACGGCCTTTCCCAGCTCAGGTGGGTGATAACTCACTAACATCAACCGTGGCCTCAGTTATAACAATCAACAACGTCGGCATTCGACCATTTAGTTTTTCCCAATTGAATTCAGCAACAATTTTTTTAAGTTTACGAAGTAATTCAGATAACAATGACAGTGCTGAAGCGCGGGGCCCCTTCAAGCGCGGAGCCTGGGGCGACCGCCCCGTTTGCCACCCCCTAACGCCGGCTCTGGCCACAAGTATTGTGTAAACACTAGGCACAACTAACAAGTCCAACTACATCCTAGTTGAACAAATTGACAAAAAGGAAGGAAAAAACATCAGGGGATGATCTCCCATGGTGTCGAGTGTCCTACTCGTGAGTGTGAGTTAAGTGACATCACGGCTCTAGTGGACCTGTATTAGCTCATGGTGATTTCATTGGCTTTAATTCTACTTTACAACCCACATCTGGGATTTAGGTTGACGCGATTAAAGGTAAGCCGACGGATCAATAGCTCGTTATTTAAGTCAATCATTAATTAATTGTGTCTAATGATGTTCGGGTCAGATTGTTGCCTCATCAGGTTCAGTTAATTGGATGGGGCAATTTAAATATCAAGAAGAGAAGGAACAAATATAATAGCGCTGCACATTTACGTTCAAATGGACGGTCATGTAACATAATGTAGCCAGCCATGTAGCCTAATGTAGCCAGCCTAATGTAGCCAGCCTAATGTAGCCAGCCATGTAGCCTAATGTGGCCAGCCATGTAGCCTAATGTAGCCAGCCATGTAGCCTAATGTAGCCAGCCTAATGTAGCCAGCCTAATGTAGCCAGCCATGTAGCCTAATGTGGCCAGCCATGTAGCCTAATGTAGCCAGCCATGTAGCCTAATGTAGCCAGCCTAATGTAGCCTAATGTGGCCAGCCTAATGTAGCCAACCATGTAGCCTAATGTAGCCAGCCTAATGTAGCCAGCCTAATGTAGCCAGCCTAATGTAGCCTAATGTAGCCAGCCATGTAGCCTAATGTAGCCTAATGTGGCCAGCCTAATGTAGCCAGCCATGTAGCCTAATGTAGCCAGCCATGTAGCCTAATTTAGCCAGCCATGTAGCCTAATGTAGCCAGCCTAATGTAGCCAACCATGTAGCCTAATGTAGACAGCCTAATGTAGCCAGCCATGTAGCCTAATGTAGCCAACCATGTAGCCTAATGTAGCCAGCCATGTAGCCTAATGTAGCCAGCCATGTAGCCTAATGTAGCCAGCCTAATGTAGCCAACCATGTAGCCTAATGTAGCCAGCCTAATGTAGCCAACCATGTAGCCTAATGTAGCCAGCCTAATGTAGCCAACCATGTAGCCTAATGTAGCCAGCCTAATGTAGCCAGCCATGTAGCCTAATGTAGCCAGCCATGTAGCCAGCCATGTAGCCTAATGTAGCCAGCCATGTAGCCTAATGTAGCCAGCCTAATGTAGCCAACCATGTAGCCTAATGTAGCCAGCCTAATGTAGCCAACCATGTAGCCTAATGTAGCCAGCCATGTAGCCTACTGTAGCCAGCAATGTAGCCTAATGTAGCCAGCCATGTAGCCTAATGTAGCCAGCCTAATGTGGCCTAATGTAGCCAGCCTAATGTAGCCAACCATGTAGCCTAATGTAGCCAGCCATGTAGCCTAATGTAGCCAGCCTAATGTAGCCAACCATGTAGCCTAATGTAGCCAACCATGTAGCCTCATGTAGCCAAACATGTAGCCTAATGTAGCCAGCCATGTAGCCTAATGTAGCCAGCCATGTAGCCTAATGTAGCAAGCCTAATGTAGCCAGCCATGTAGCCTAATGTAGCCTAATGTGGCCTAATGTAGCCAGCCTAATGTAGCCAGCCATGTAGCCTAATGTAGCCAGCCATGTAGCCTAATGTAGCCAGCCATGTAGCCTAATGTAGCCAGCCATGTAGCCTAATGTAGCCAGCCATGTAGCCTAATGTAGCCAGCCATGTAGCCTAATGTAGCCAGCCATGTAGCCTAATGTAGCCAGCCTAATGTAGACAGCCTAATGTAGCCAGCCATGTAGCCTAATGTAGCCAACCATGTAGCCTAATGTGGCCAGCCATGTAGCCTAATGTAGCCAGCCATGTAGCCTAATGTAGCCAGCCTAATTTAGCCAACCTAATGTAGCCTAATGTAGCCAGCCATGTAGCCTAATGTAGCCAGCCATGTAGCCTAATGTAGCCAGCCATGTAGCCTAATGTAGCCAGCCATGTAGCCTAATGTAGCCAGCCATGTAGCCTAATGTAGCCAGCCATGTAGCCTAATGTAGCCAACCATGTAGCCTACTGTAGCCAGACATGTAGCCTAATGTAGCCAGACATGTAGCCTAATGTAGCCAGACATGTAGCCTAATGTAGCCAGCCTAATGTAGACAGCCTAATGTAGCCAGCCATGTAGCCTAATGTAGCCAGCCATGTAGCCTAATGTAGCCAGCCATGTAGCCTAATGTAGCCAGACATGTAGCCTAATGTAGCCAGCCTAATGTAGACAGCCTAATGTAGCCAGCCATGTAGCCAGCCATGTAGCCTAATGTAGCCAGCCATGTAGCCTAATGTAGAAAACCATGTAGCCTAATGTGGCCAGCCATGTAGCCTAATGTAGCCAACCATGTAGCCTACTGTAGCCTAATGTAGCCAGCCTAATGTAGCCAGCCATGTAGCCTAATGTAGCCAACCATGTAGCCTCATGTAGCCAACCATGTAGCCTAATGTAGCCAGCCATGTAGCCTAATGTAGCCAGCCATATAGCCTAATGTAGCCAGCCATGTAGCCTAATGTAGCCAGCCATGTAGCCAGCCATGTAGCCAGCCATGTAGCCTAATGTAGCCAGCCATGTAGCCTAATGTAGCCAGCCATGTAGCCTAATGTAGCCAGCCATGTAGCCTAATGTAGCCAGACATGTAGCCTAATGTAGGCAGACATGTAGCCTAATGTAGCCAGCCATGTAGCCTAATGTAGCCAGCCTAATGTAGACAGCCTAATGTAGCCAGCCATGTAGCCAGCCATGTAGCCTAATGTAGCCAGCCATGTAGCCTAATGTAGAAAACCATGTAGCCTAATGTGGCCAGCCATGTAGCCTAATGTAGCCAACCATGTAGCCTACTGTAGCCAGCAATGTAGCC